CTTCAGTGAGAACAGTCCCACTGTGATAATTCATAGAGCCAGACTTTCTAGCGAAGGCAGTGAAGTCAAGTAATTATGGGGCATTTCAAAGGAAAGCCAAATGGTGACAACCAATTGCTGAAGCATGTTGATGCAGTTTATCTCATTTTGTGAGCCATCATCCCCACACTGTTGTGTACCGGTCTCGTTGTTGCTGCTTGGCTCCTGATGTGGTCAACCAATGGTTAAGTGAAAGCAATAAAAAGCTGATATGAATACCTACATACAAAGTCATAACCCATCGAAACTAAGCGTGTATGAAAAATAAGGAGTTGCACGAGCGCAATGGCTTTTGCGAATCAACAATGTCACTTGATCACCGTAGCCATTGATTTGCGGATCACTACACTGATTTACCCTCACTGGGATTTATGTGTGTTTGTCCTGATTGCTTGAGCATAACGTGCAGTGACACCACAGTTCTCAGCAATAGTTCGAAGTTTGATATTGTGACCAGCGAGGAAAATGATCAGACATATAGCGATCTATCTCTTGGTGTGCCACGTTGAGATCAATTGTTGCAAATAATGCCCGATCACAGAACTAACGCTGTTTCTTTATTTTATCCAAACCGTTATCTTGTCTTTATCACTCTTTATCGTTCTAATTTGATGCTGAAGTAATTGACCCGATCCACGGTGACCAACATTCGCTTCAATTGCTCTAGATGCACAACGTTTTTGTATTTGTTTTGTGTGCTCTGTCATTATCAATTCTACGCAGTAAACATTGATAGTCCCGTTCGTCTAGCGAGGAGCAGTAGTCTGCTCTTGCACGTAGGATTCGAGAACGATGTGTGTATTTTGAACAACAAGAAAGAAAGATTTCTCGATTGTCCCTCCAGACTGGCAATCTTTCCATCGTATAGCGTCCGCCGAATGCGCAGTGCCTCATTGACGAGCGTGGCACGGCGGGATCGTGGACCAGACACGTACGTGGGTGCACAGACAGGCGTGCGCACTGCACAAGGCATGTACGCGTTGGGACACACACTGTCACGCCAAAAACATATGTGTTTAATCTCCTCAAGGTCGTGCACATGCAGTCATACTTATATGGGCGTATTTGGGGCTAATGGTGGGGAATACTAATATGCACATACGGTTAAAACCACGGGAACAACACACCCAACTGGTCTGACGATCTGCCGGTCATTGGTGCTTTTGGCTATTTTGTTTGAAAGGACAGAAAATCATCTGCTTTCCTACACACGGCACGAGTGGTTGTAGATACAACCTTAGTGTGTCACTGATTTCTGAGAATTTCAGACCGCTTAAGATGTACCACCTTCGTGTACCGCTGGATTTTTCGAAAATATACTTCTCAATTTTTATTACAAACGTCTATTTATCTCCATCAGTGGGCTTTTTTCTGCACTTACCACGCTTTGATTTTAACACAATTTCTATGGCATTGGTACAACTTATTTCGGTTGGTTTATCAACAAAAATGCTTCTTCCACTCTTAACGTTGATTTGGTAACGTGTATCAGCCAGCGGATTGCGACCAATTACACGGTCTCCATCAGCCAAAAGCTATTTTCTTGAAGCATATTGTGCTTAATAGGCTTTAGTCAAATTCGGCTTTACGCATCTAAAGGGACTACGCAGCAGTTAGTGCACTTATACAGTGAAGAGCGTTGCAAAAACACTATTTTCAAAGGCGACAGGAAAAATGCAATCAAAATAAATCATGTAGCGTGCAATGATTGACAGCTGTCTACTCCCGGTTGACCAGAAAGCGAGCAAAGTAAGGGACTATTGTAATCCCGAGAGCAGTGAAACTCGCAGGCGAAATTTCATGTTTTTTCAGCGCTAACGATTGGTTGACACAGACCTTTCAAGTTTATCAGGCACATAATGGTTCTCGTTGCACGATATTCTATGAATAAACTTAAACCACACGCATAAAAATGTTCATAAGGAATAAAATCGATCCTCCTCATTCAGACCAATACGTTCAGTAGAAACGACTTTGGAACCTGCATACCTCAGTAAAGTTCTTCTCTTTTAGGGCGAATAAAATTGTGGCTGACCAATAAAACTAATGGGGAAAAATAGGGGTAGTCACATTTCAAAATAACTCCTCGGGAACAGAAAGTTTCTGAATTCTGAATGAGTAAAACAATAATGAGCGACTCTTTAAAAATATTTTTAGCTAAAATGTATTTTGTAGTAGGAGTCAGTTTTAAGAATAAAAGACAATCACCAGTATTCCGAACAACAAAGCCGAATAAAAGTTCACCGAAAGTGTGTTGTATTCTATCTTTTTTATCCGGCAAAAATGATCATTATTTGAAGCTGGGAACCCAGTTGCCATTTCATAAACATACATGTGACCAAGTTGTGGGAATCGGGCGGATTGTTAAATTTCAACCGTTGCAAGTACGGAGACAGAAAAGAATCGGAATTGAAAAGTAAGGAAGAGGATTTTTTACGTTACCAGAGGTAAACCGGGTCCCATCAAAATAGCTTATCATCACAGCTAGTAATTCTAAACCTCTAGTCCACAATACAAGCATTCCGAAGGCGTGAGTGTAATCCCGGGATGTCAAACGCTTACTTAAAACCAATGCCTGAATGCAGTATTGTTACCAAGGTCTAATTTACTAATGCACCTTTGCGTTTTCTGTTCACCAAGGATCATGTATATGGCTCTTGGTGGCCACATTCCTACGACTCCCTGTCTCTGGCACGCACAGCATAGTCGGTGCTACAGTCGGTTTCAGTCTGGTCATTTTCGGGGTGAAAGCTATTCACTGGATGGCTTTGGTCCAAATCGGTGAGCATCTCCATTTTCTAATGTTTTTTTATCATTGGCGATAGCCCTCACTCGTATATCAATCATATTTTGTGGTAAAAATATAGCGAAATACACCCGTCCTGGCTCCAGCCTCATGCCAGACCGGTTGCAACTTATTGTTAGTTTTTTTTCTCTTGGTTTAATACCATGATAAGGATGAATGATAATTCAATAATAACAATAATACCCTTAATTTAACATACAATTGTACATATAACTCTCAGGACGGGAGTGAGGCACAGAACTGGCAAATTCGTCAAGTGGCGTTGATAGAATTCGAGCTCCCGACCTCCGAGTCGGTGAACTTGTGACTATTTAATACCGCCGCGGCTGATGAATATTAGTTCTGGTGAGAAGATCGGTTTGATTGATTTGATTGCATCACAGTTAGACATGATCGCGTACCTTTTTAAAGGACGCTAAAACAGGGCCTATACCAACAAAGCAGTATTATTGCGGTTGTTCCGGCTTCTGTTCTGACGCAAAATGCACTTGTGTCTTGGTGGAGTTATGTTTTCTTTCAATATCGCAAACCTGGGAGTATTTGTTCCCCCCTTCAAAGAAAAAGGACCGGAGTGCGAAGATTCGCCACATTTCATATGACCACCTATAAACTATTGTCGTCTCCAGTACAGAACCGACAGAAGTGAAACCAAAGTCAAGAAACTAGAGTTTGACAAGGTGCAATAACTGATTCGGAACGAACTGGCAACAAAACCACATACACGTCCTCTATTGTTCACGGGTTATGCGCTTGACGGATCGAACTCTTACAAGTTTTTCTTTCACATTACATGAATACAAAAACACTCGCTAATACTTCTCATTAAGTTTATATTACAGTATGCAGTCAGATATAGTGTGAAATTGTGAACATAGACTTCAGTTAATTTCATCTTAGAGCATTTTCAATTTGTATTCCGTACATTTACTCGCTCCCCTTGAGTTAGGATACGTCCACGGAAGCACACCGATGTGTATGTGAAAGAGAGAGTCAAAATTATCCGAAGCGAAAGAATTTGTACATTCAATGCACTTTTAACGCTCATATCAGCGCTCTTCATAGAACTAATCGCTGTGCTTATGTGGTAAGCAACGAAATAGCCTAGTAGTTCTCTGGTGCCGGACGCAAAAGACTGAGGCTTAGGGATTTAGCATGACGCCTGAATGTTGCTGAACAATACCAATGCAGTGGAAAGTTGCGGTCAATTATGATGTGTGTGTGTGAGAGAGAGAAGGCCAGGTTACGTTTTGTAAGTCCTGGTTATAAAAAATGTGCATTTCCATACGCTCAGGTATGAGAGTAGAACAGCGAATTTGAAATTATTTTATCGACCTCACTTTTCTCATATCATGTTGGAATTCCTACATTGTTGGTGTCGACCTGCCACCCCTGTCGTTCATGTGAACTTGCGTCGTCCAGAAACTTTGATTACTATAAGCCGATCTATATTATTAATATATTTTCACGCATGTTTGAATCCAGACTGTGTGCTAAACAAATCATGGTACAATAATCGTTATGGAAAGCAAGATGTTCCATGATTTGCATGTGGGTTGAATACTGCCAGGTTCCCCAGGCCAAGGCAGGTTAATTTTCTTGAGGAATCCATAACCGGAGCCTTCGGCTAGCCAAAGCCTGACCCGCAAGACAGCCGTGTGTAAAAACCACAATCTATTGGGGGCCGTAGTCCAGTTCATCGGCTCATACACCCTTTGGACGGGGTCAAACGTCCAAGGTACCCAAAACACCTCGATGACCAATGGAGCCGGTGACCACTTTCACAACCAGGAAGTTGTGTTTGTGGTTCATACGTCTCTTCATGGTTGGTTTGGAATCAAGGATTTTGATCAACTCCCCTAGGTGAACTACCAGTGGTCCACCAACCCGGTCATAGCCCTGGATGTCGGCTTTTCGTCCTCTAACGTTAGTAAGAAACACCTCCGCCACGAGAAGGCAGTGAGTAGGACTTCCTGAGCAGAGACTATTCCAGAGGCTTGATCGTATGGGAACATTTCTCGATGTACAAGGGGAGGGGGACCAGCCGCCATATATATA